GATGCATCAACTCTAGGGAAATTTGAAGCTTTAGAAGGGTTCCTAATATCATTAAAATCTCCCATCACTATCCAAGTAGCATCAGTTATTCTGATCCTTCTTAAATCATTATATAGAACTTGTCTGAGAGTGCCATCATTTGCTGCATACACTACTGTCCCAAAGAAAGGCTTGGCAACCCCACCATAAACTGAACTGAACAAACTGGTCAGAAGAATGCAGAACTGTGAGTGGAATATCTTTCCTCCAAGCCAACCATATTTTACCCAAACTAGAGTTATTATGCGTTATCTTAGTCTCCCAGTCTGGAAACCGCTTCTTAACCAACTCATCTGTCTTAGAGGCTCTTATTCTAGGTTCAAGAACAACTAATATATCTATATTGTATTTATTTATTTTCTTAAACAAAGCTATATATTTACTATCTGCCTTAAATCCTCTAGTATTCCAGGTAATAATTCTCATTTTCTTCCTCTACCTCTACCACCCTTACCTCCTTTCCTCGGTTGATAGGGGATCAACGGAGAATCAATCCAAACCCTCTTTCCTACATCTGGAGGCTTAATGTTCTCTTTGTCTTTGGATATTCCACTCTGAGCCTGCTGGAGCTGCAAGTTCCCAGAAACTGGCGACTCATCAGACTCAGCAACCTGCTCAGTATTAGAAGGACTCCCTCCCGTAGGAGATCCCCCTAACTACCTGAGCAAAACTCGCGCCCGGGGGGGGGGGGGGGGGGGGGGGGGCTCCCAATTGATGCAGGAGCTTGAATGTTAGCAGCCTCAATGTGCAAAACAGCCACAGTAGAGTCCACCACCAATCTATTAATAGTCAGCACCTGAGCAGTCAGCTCTTCCACCAACTCTTCTTCTTCTTGCCCAACATCCTCAACGGCTTCAACAGCCCCCTATTTACAGGAGCAGTTTCACTCTTCTCAACCAGCCCAACATCCATATCAGTTGAATTTAGCACTTCCTTTTGATACCTCCAGACCCACCCTCTCCTTCTCTCTCCATTCTCTAACAGCCTCCTAAGGGCAACTATGACCAAACAAACAGCATTTTGAGCAAACTCGTAGGAGCTGTAAGTACTCCACCCCAATCTCAAAATCAGGGTCATCATCCGGATATAGCCTAATCCGTCTAGGGAAATCAAAGTCAGCTGCCAACTCAATACAGACCTTCGAGAACCCCAACTGATCTCCAACACTAGTTTTCTAATCAGTCCAAAGAGGTCTTCCCATTGTACTAGCAACCCACTCAATTCCATCCTGTCCCAAATATTTCAAAGGTAATCCCGAGATCTTAACCCAGATAGGCAGGGTTTCGACCTTTGGCTCAATAGGCTGAAGACCCACTTCCCACTTACGAAAGAAAACTGGATTTCCCCCCAGATGCCAAGGCCCCGATGTAAAAACCCAGTCATAGGAAGAACTCGATGGGAATTGAAAAACCAACATCTTCGAACCAAATCGTGAAACTCGTACCAATCCATCCCTCCCCCAAAGCCGATTAGCCCACGAGTGCAGCTCCGCAACCTTAGGAAGCTTCCCGACGAATTGCCCAATCAAAGACATCTTCCATCGCTCAGTGCCCTTCTCCTTCACAGCCTGCGAAATTCAAAAACCATCTTTAACCCTCTCAGGTGGGCGATAGGTAAGTCTCTTTTCCAGAGCCACCGAGAATAGATTTTTCCAGGATGACGGAGACGAAGAACCCTCGCCAGCCGGCGAAGAAGCTGACAGCGAGGAAGCCATTGCGATGGTTTCCTACAGAGCACGAAAAAGGAGAGGGAAAGAAGAGAGAGGTTAAAAATTATTTTTAATAGCTTTAATTTGGACATATACCTACATGATATTTTTTAATATGAATAATTTGTTATTTTAATTAAATATAAATATATATTATAAATAAATAGTCTTCAAATATGTTTGACATATACCTACTTAATATTTTTTTTAATTTTTATTAAATAATGAACTGATACAAATCGAGTGTACCATCGGACCATACCACCTACTAAACTGATTTGACAGCTATTGCGGCCATATCGGATAGACGGGCTGGGGAATTGGTGTGACTTGTGAGTGGAGTGCGGATCCGGTGATTAAGGGGGGGTGCTTAGTCTCTTGACTAAGCCCCTCCCAGCCCTTAGATCTGGATATAGCAATCTGATGGTTAAAAAGTGGGAAGAGCTATTTAATTAATGACAGGGGTAGTTTGAGTATTATGGAAAATTACAAAGTATACAAACCGGATTTACAATCACTACAAACCATACAAACATACGAACAGTACAAACTAGAGCGACAAAACATACAAACAGATTTACAAACATTACAAACATATAAACTGTACAAAAAGTACAAACTAGACCAACAAACAATACAAACCATACAAAAAGAAAAAACAACTAGGTTGACTTTGGAGGCTCTATCCCTATATAGAGGAGCTCCTTCTCAAAGTCAACCCGGGTGTTTTTAGACATACAAACAGTACGAACATGGTGGGCAAAAATGACAAACTAGACCGACAATCCATACGAACTGAAAAAACAACCGGGTTGACTTTGGAGGCTCCATCCTTATATAGAGAAGTTGCATCTAAAAGTCAACCATGTTGTTTTTTAGACATAAAAAACATTACAAACATTGTTGACAAAAATGATAAACATGGTGCACAAAAATAACAAAATTTACAAACATTACAAAATAAAAAAGCGTACAAACATTACAAAATATGTCAACAAACATCACAAAGCACTGTCGCCGGAAAATTCTTCTCCATCGACGATGGTCGCCGGGAAAAAATGTTCAGACCAGAAAATCTCTCTCTCTCTCTCTCTCTCTCTCTTAGTTGTTGGGAGGATAAAAGCTTGTTTGGGGAAATTAATTCCACAGGCCTGGGAACGGCGGCGCAGGTTGGGGAGCCGCCGGAAAATCCCCAGAAAACGAAACGGTCGCGCGGACGCGGATGGGGAGAATTGCATTGTTTTTTTAATTATTAAATAAATTAATTATATAATTACCACATTACCCTTCATTAAAATGGATTAATCTGAACCTTTAAATTTTAATGAAGTGAAAGGGCTGAGACCCTTCATTAAAATGGATTAATCTGAACCTTTAAATTTTAATGAAGTGAAAGGGCTGAGATTGACTTAGTCATGTGACTAAGGTCACCTCTCCTAGTTTTAGGGAAAAAATCCCAAAGTACACTAGTTTTTAAAAAAAATTCCCAAAATACATTAGTTATAAAAAAAATTCCAAAACTACACATGTTTGAGCATCACCGTTTTTGTCTAAAACGGTGAAGGTCATCGCCGCGTTTGACAAACACGGTGAGTACTTCACCGTTTTAAACTAAAACGGTGAAGCCTTCACCGCTTTTGTCAAAAGCGGTGAAGCCTTCACCGTTTTAGTTTAAAACGGTGAAGTACTCACCGTTTTTGACTAAAACGGTGAAGCCTTCACCATTTTTCAAGGACGCGGTGAAGTAGCTGACGTGGCAGACACGGGGTATTCACCGCGTTAGACAAACACGGTGAATAACCCGTGTCTGCCACGTCAGCGATCCGCCTCAGTGTGTTTTCACCGTGGCCGTTAGATGCGGTGAGGCGCGGATCGTGGTTTTCTTCCCGCGATCCGACGCCTCACAGCAAGCCACGTGGACGGGGAGCCGGATTTGGGGAAGGACAGTCCTTCACAGTGTAGTAAGGACTCACCAGGCTGTTTCTGTTCATGGTTATTGACTTAGCAACCGCCATTGAATTTACCCATATCTACAATTTACAATAAGTATCTATTAGCTTAAAGACAGTAAAATTAACCAAAATCATATTGTACAACTAATATTAAATCATACCATAAGTAACAAAAATAAATTCAACTAACTAACAACAACATAATACGAAAATTAAATCATACTATAACTAACGAACATAAGTTCAACTAACTAACAACAACATAATACGAAAATTAAATCATACCATAACTAACGAAAATAAATTCAACTAACAAACAACAACATAATACGAAAATTAATTCATACTATAACTAACGAACATAAGTTCAACTAACTAACAACAACATAATACGAAAATTAAATCATACCATAACTAACGAAAATAAATTCAACTAACAAACAACAACATAATACGAAAATTAAATCATACTATAACTAACGAATATAAGTTCAACTAACTAACAACAACATAATACGAAAATTAAATCATAATACGAAAATTAAATCATACTATAACTACTAAAAACATAATTAGACCATAATACGAAAAGTCTCAACATACCGAAAAATTTCTGTTCTGTGTATTATGCTCGATTTTGGCTGCTGAAATTTGAAGAAAGGGGAGTGGTTATGTTTTTACAACTGCTGGTGGTGTGGTATTTATAGGAAAATCTGCCTACTATTCACCGTTTTTGTCAAAAACGGTGAACACTATCACCGCGTTTGTCTCAAACGGTGAATAGGTGGTAGCTGCGACCTAATTTTGACCTACCAGGGGTGGGAAACGTGGGAAATGATCACCGCGTTAGTTAACAACGGTGAAGGCTTCACCGTTTTGGTCAAAAACGGTGAAGCTTTCACCGTTGTTAATTAACGCGGTGAAAGCTTCACCGTTTTGGTGTGAAACGGTGAATACTTCACCATTTTTGTTTAAAACGATGAAGTATTCACCGTGTTTGTCAAACGCGGTGATGCTCAAACATGTGTACTTTGGGAATTTTTTTTATAACTCATGTATTTTGAGAATTTTTTTTAAGAACGTGTGTACTTTGGGATTTTTTCCTAGTTTTAGTGAGTGAGTTGTGGTGACCAGTAAGCTTAAAGGGTCTGCGACTCTGCGTCTTTGCGAGCCGTGAGCGAGTGTGACTCAGAAGTTTTCTTTTCCTTTTTTTGTTTCATTTGGCAAAGTTGATTGATTCTTGCTGGTAGGGTGCAGAAACCACAATCAGTGAGCTCGTGTGAGCGCGAAGAAGAAGGAAGATGCCGTGCCTCAACTTGTCGACGAACGTGAGCCTTGATGGCGTTGACACCTCCGCCATTCTCTCCGAAGCAACCTCCACCGTCGCCAACATCATCGGAAAACCTGCTTCCGTACGACTTCCCTCCCTCCCTCGACCTTCTATTTCGCCTTTCATTTGAGCTTATCTTTCTCCTGTTAAAGCTAATTGATCATCTATCGAGCTCCCTAAGTTACCCTAACCGTAGGAATCTTGCTCGGTGACAGTTAATTTGCTTATGCTTTCCTTGTTGCCCTAGAAACCGTTCTTTTCAGCTTCTGTTGTTGTTTCGACCTTCGAGCATCTGTTCAGTCTCTCCTAAGTTCCTCTGTGCAGAAATTCGATTTAGGTGTGATGAAGTTGAACTAGAATTTCGATCTATGTAAAGCGATTGAGATTCTCACGAGTAAGTGCTTATGGTGATTTGGTGAGCCTTGGGTTCAAGTCCAGGATGGCCCAAATTAAGCTTTCAACACTAACTGTTGTTAACATACAAAGAGGGAAAGGACTGTTGCTAGTTTGGAAATGGCGGATTCATATAAAGTTAATAGTTATTAGCTTACAAACTAGTGGAATTCGGATTGATGTTGAAGTTGGTCCCCAATATCGTTTACCCGCTTATTAAGTCGGCATACGTATCTAGGGTTCATATATGCAGTTATTTGTATTGTGGTTTGTTTCTATGTCCCTTAGGAGGTCTGGAGAAAGATATGATTGTTACACACTCATATGTGACATGTTAGTTAATGCAGGCACTGCTTGTTTTGGTTCCTTCTTTTATCTTAAGTTGTCATGGGGATTTAGTAATAGTTGAGCTGAGCTTATTAGGGTTTGTTCATATGTTAAGTCCCTTCGCTGCAGCAGTAGCTTTGTCTTTTGCAGGTATCTTTATGGTTTGGTGATGAAACCATAAAGAGAGCAAAACGGAAGTTGGTAATATTGGCAGTCATCTATATCATGTGTATGTAAAATACTATTGATGCTTACAGAATTGTTGGGTCAAAACCTTACTGTGAGCAAGTGATGATTTAGTTTGGCAGCTACATAATACCTAAACTACTCTATCTTCGACTGGATCTTCTGTTAAGTTTTAACCATTGTTCATGTGCTGTGCAGTATGTGATGATTGTTTTGAAGGGCTCAATCCCTATGGCATTTGGTGGGTCTGAGCAACCAGCTGCTTTTGGTGAGTTGGTTTCAATTGGTGGCCTAAACCCCGACACCAACAAGAAACTCAGCGCTGCAATTGCTGCTATTCTCGAGACCAAGTTGTCGGTTCCCAAGGCGAGATTCTTCCTCAAATTTGTTGACTCCAAGGCAAGCCACACTCAACTTCTTACAAATTGAGAGAAGATTGGATGGATCTTATTTCCCCATGCGCATATTCTCATTTGCATTCTTTCGTGTCTCTGTTTAGGCGCAACAAACTCCAGATTTTGCACAATGTTTGCATGCTTTACACCAGCATTAGATAATGTAAATCAAGCCCCTTTTTGGACTATTTGTTTTCAAACTGTGCGCACGGCTATTTTACTTCTTTCCAGGATCAGATACATATAAGTTCGTTCTTCATTCGGCTTAAAACATTGAAATCTTGTTTTGCTGTTGCTGATCAATGCTTGTGGTGTCCCTTTCTTGCAGGGTTCCGACTTCGGATGGAATGGTTCTACCTTCTGAAATCTACTCCTTGTGCAACCTGTGTTCACACTCGTGATGTGGGTTGGGTGTCAGCTGTCTGAACTTGGAATAGGAGTATCATCCCGTAATAAAGTCTGCTTTTTCTTATGGAATATGAACTAGAGAATAAAAAAAACTTGATTCGCGCCTTTGCATTGTGTCCTTGTCTGAAATTGTTCTGGAACTTTATGTTGCCTTGGTTTATAATATATCGAAGTAAACTGGAAAACTGTATCTGGGAATGTAAACCAACAGCGAGCTTCAGTTGGACTCCAGCTGCAGATCAAGCCGATCGACTTCCCATGGGCCATGGCATAAACTCCTCTGTTTTTTTTTTTCTTTGATGAACTCCTAAAGTTGTTGACAGGCTTTCTGGGCTCGCTGCATTGTTGGATGGGCTGTGGCCCGTGGGACTAAAATATAGGGCTCTTTTGTAGCTCCATCATCAATCCTATTGCTTAGTGCGTGTTATAAAATTTGAGCCCAGAAATGGCAAAAAGTCAGGCTAGCTTCAGGATTAAGGAACTTGCAGGCGAAGCCTCTTCCTCGCTTTACTTAGCTGACGTGTTAACATACTATTGGCGGATAAACGGAAGCGCGGGCCGATACACAGAAAGAATAGAAAGACGAAACTTACAGTAGTTACCAGGAACGGGGGCATTGAGGTCCGTACCGTAGTTAACCCGCTGCCTGTCTCCTTTTGTTTTTATAAATAATAATAATAATAAAATCTCCGGTATTCCGTCCTTTTCTGCCACCGTCCTCTCCTCCGCTGCTTCTCGTTTAAAACGTAAATAAATCGAAGCCCATTGGGGGAAAGAAAAACAAGATTAAGAGAGAGGAAGGCCAAAGTCCCCAAATTTGATTTGAGTGAGCCAACCGTAACGAAGGAAGCACCACCGTGAAAAACACGATTTGTGCTTCCCTCAAATCAATTTCCTCTCAGCCATGGCTGCTCCATCTCCCCCAATCCTCCCGATCTCGAATTCCCAAGCCGCCGTCACCACCACCACCGTTCCTTCCGCCGCCGCGTCTGCCCAATCCCAGCCTCCGATCGCCACCCCGGCCTTCCGCTCCTTCATCAACAAAATCTCCGACACCGTCCGCAACGGCCTCTCGCAACGCCGCCCGTGGGCCGAGCTAGCCGATCGATCCGCCTTCTCGAAGCCGGAGTCCATGTCCGAGGCCTCCCTCCGCCTGCGCAAGAACTACGCATACTTCCGCGTCAATTACCTGGCCGTCATCGCCGCGATCTTGGCCTTCTCCTTGGTCTCGCATCCGTTCTCGCTCTTGCTGCTGGTGGGCCTCCTGGCTTCCTGGATCTTCCTCTACCTCTTCCGCCCCGCGGATCAGCCGCTGGTCATCTTCGGCCGCTCCTTCACCGATATGGAGACCCTCGGCATCCTCGTCCTGTTCAGTGTGGTCGTTGTTTTCCTCACCAGCGTCGGATCTCTGCTCATCTCGGCTCTCATGGTCGGGGCGGTCGTTGTGGGCGCGCACGGCTCGTTTAGGGTTCCGGAGGATCTGTTCTTGGATGAGCAGGAGCCTGCCACCACCGGATTCCTATCGTTCCTCGGTGGCGCCGCTACCAATGTCGCCGCCACCACCGCCGCTCGCGTCTGATCCCGCTGCAATCTGATTCTCCATCGGACGGTTTTTGGGTAATAGGACTGGGTCGATCCATTCTTTGATTTTCTTCTGTTTGAACATTTTAGATACATATATTCGACGATAAGAATTGTGATTACAGAAAAATAAAGTAAAATGAAAACTCTTGCTTGTTTCTATTCAGGTTGATTTTCTTTGATTTCCATCTGGTCTCTGTTCTTTTGGCTCTTATTATTTTGGATTTGGTCTGTGCATAGATCCCTATAGCAAAGCTTAATCGCTGCTGTTTTGGATGTAAAATGGATCTACTTACTTCCCCTCCCTCTCCCTCTCCCTCTATGGTCCATGAATTCCATTTCTATCTCTCAGAATACAGATAAAATTCAAAGTCTTCGGGAAGGGTTCCAGAAAAACAGATCACTTCTGTTTGAATTTCTTCCTCGCATATCTGTAGATCTGGGCACGAGAATATACCAAATGGTATTCGACAGAACTAATGAACAGGTCATCTGGAAATGAACATAGAGAAGAAAGTAGCTGAAAAGTGAAAACCATAAACTAATACATCACAAATTGGAAAACCCCCCCTGCTCCCCTTTACATTTTTGGCCCAAGAGAAATAAAGATAGTTGTTACAGAATACACGAGAACAAAAAAACAACCCAGCATACCTCTTCATGATATGGCCCTCCTACCTACCTGAGAATCCAAATCGTCCATCGGAAAACAGAAAACACAAGTCCAAGTTCCGGGTCTGGACGTAGGGGTCTTTTCTACTATACTTTCGAAATATAAATTAAACTTATACCATAACCTTAGAGCTTCCGTTTTTATCATAAAAGAAATTGTTTCTTCTACAAGTTTAGTTTGTACTATAAAATCACGAATTCAGTTTGTACTATAAAGGAATTGGGTGAATAGTAAGGTTGGTCACTGAGATTATTAAAAAGTTTCACGTTTGGTCACTAAATTATTTTATTCATTTGGTCTTTAAGATTAGTCAAACAGTCCAAATTTACTCACTCTTTGTTACCTTCTGTCATTCTCCATTAACATCATCAATTTTTTTGCTGACGTAGCTAACATACATGCTAATTCACCCAATTTTAGTGTGTCGCGTAATAAAACTAGCCACATCAGACCTTCTGCATAATCCAACCCAATTCAACCCCTTACCCAACCGACCCGGCCTGCCACCACCTCACCTCCCCACCACTGACGCCTCACCTCTCCTACAACATCGCCAAGACGAGCTCAAGAAAATTGTCATCCATTGCATTCCCTCAATCTCCCAAGTCCCGCCACAGCCATGCTCTATTGTCGGTGTCTCGTCCTTTTCGCCCTCCTCTGCTTCTCCCTCTCCCCGGTTTCCTCTGCCTCGGCCTTTCACCATATTTAGATCTGGGTCAATCTCGTCCCCTCGATTGCAAGGTCGATAGTGGGGTGGGAGTCGAGATCCCAGAGCGAAGGCGGTCGGTAATCTGCAATCCATCCACATGGAATCCCTCCCTTACACTGTTCTCTCCGACTCTCTGTATTCTCCAATGGTGCAGGTACAAGGTGTCGATTTTGACAGGAAAGACACTCGGTGAAAGAATAGTCATGATCGACGGAGCAACTTTCTTCACCTGGAAGGACTTTGGTCAGTGGGGGAGACGGAGACGGGTCAGTTGGTGTAGGGCAGAGAGCTAGGTCGGGTCGCAGGTTTAATTTGTAAGGATTTTAATTGGGTTGGGTCATGGGTTGAGATTTTGGTGACCTGGCAGTTTTTCCAACGTGGTGGTTTTTTTTGTTGTTAAAATTTGGTGAATCACCATGTTTGTTTGCCACGTTAGCAAAAAGCTGACGGTGTAAACAAAGACTGACATAAGGTAACGAACAGTGACCAAATTTGGAGAATTTTTACAGAAATACCACCATTAACTATAAAATTCCAAAAATATCACACTTATCGTAAAAAATTCATTTATACCACCATTTGATACAAACCGCATGGGGAAAGCACGGTTTGCACGGGAACCGCTCGGAGGGAAAACGGTTTCTATTAGGGCGGCCGACAAACCGTATGGCCACGTGGCTGTCTCCGAAGCCGTGGAATGAAGATGTGATATGATGGCGGACCGTTTCTCAGCTGAGCAGTCCGCATCTTGGATGCAAGAACTGCTCCCTCCCAACACGATTCATATTTGTAATGTGAAAACCGTTGGCAGGGGAGGCGGTTTTCGTTTGGAGTAAACAAATGTTTGGCCATCTCCAGAATGACCTCACCGCCTTCAACCGCCTCGGTGTAAACAATCATCTCTGCTTTGGAAATATTATTGCCATTAAAAAATTTGCGTATGGCATCAACTTTCTCTTGAGTGGTTATGAGCAATTCCTCATGCCACAACGACCCACCTTGTCTGTTTGGATATCGATACACCACATGTTCAATTCTCCCTGTGTCCTTCATGCAAGTAACCGTAGTACACATTCGACGAAGCTCGTCAAGGTTCGGTCTCGTAGCGACCTTCACTTTCTAAAAAGCACCACTGTCCACTAACGTAACTTACCCCATTTTCAGTCTCTTCCATGTAACCATTCCACTGTAACCCAAGTGTGAACTTTTGGAATGCAATCTACAATAAAAAGTAATACAAAAAAAACTTACAAAGTAAGGTTACTCGCAAAAACTTAAAAAAGTAAGGAGCAGAACATAAAATTTAGAAAAAGAAGAAGGAAAGGAAGTGAAGAGCTATCCTCCTTTTATAGGCAAAATCTCTAATCAAAACCGCTTGGGGAGGGGGTGGTTTTCACCTACATGCAAACTCCTGCATGTCGACATGTCGATTGTCGGGGGATGGGGACGACATACAAACCGCCACCACCCCCAGCGGTGTGTATGTCGACAACGCAAACCGTAGGGCAAGCGACGATTTCTCTTGCGAACCTAGAACCGTCTGGCCTTCCTGCGGTTTTTTCTAGATCATACATGAAAGCGACCCTTGCACCTGCGGTTTTGTCCCCAACATAAAAACCGTTGCCTTACCATGCGGTTCTTTTGGAAATCGTTGCCCCCTATGGCGGTTTATGTGAAAGGGTGGTATAAATGGAATTATTGCGAAAAGAGTGATATTTTTGGAATTATTTAGTTATAAGGTGGTATTTCTGGAAAAATAATAAATAATTTTAGTGACCAAACGTGAAACCTTTTAGTATCTCAGTGACCAACCTTGCAATTTACCCTAAAGGAATTTGTACAAAAATGTATAGGTACAAACTAAAGTTGTACTACAACAGTACAATACAAGTTCAATTTGTAACACTAAATAATTTGTACAAAAAAGTCTCGGTGCGCGTGTACCACTCCAATAACTCAACATTGTGGTGCTTTAGATAAACTAGATGATCATTAGATGGATCAAAAGCGGTGGATGGACCCGCACGCATTGAGGAGCGGGGCACGGGTGGTGGTGAATGGTGGTGTAGTTGCTTCAGAATCTCTTGATCTTGAATCGCCTACTCCACATCATGTGGCACATCTCCCATACCGGCACCCGCCGCATACCCAACTGGCTCTAATGAGGACGAGAATCACAAATCCACGGCCAACCACGACCCTCCACAATCAGGTTTATGGAAACAAGAGTGTCCACATGGAAATCGATGGTGCGAGTGACAAGATGGTAAGGTCGATGGCGACCTCGAAGTGGCTTGCGATCTAGGTGATCAATGGCCTGTTGTGCATGCCGTGGACATGAGAATTGCCTATGCACAGGAAAAGGAAATTGCCAGCACCGAACCAAGGTGGATGGTGTCTTGTAGGAGGCCCATGGAGGGGAGGGCGAGCATTCTCCACTCGGTGACCTGCCGGGGCATGCTGCTCCCAACAAATCACCCCATAGAAGGATTGGAGGTCCAAACCCTTAACATATTCAGTCCTAATTGAGAACATGTTGGCAGTGGAGAGTCCCATGGCATGGGCCAATTTATTATAAGACAGGGCATGAGGGACGCCGCCCATCTGGAAGGAGACCTAAGGCGGGTTGCGGTGTATCGAGGCCTAACATGCTGGTATGTGATGTAGAACTGAATGCAAATCTCCCAGTAAATGTCATCCTCGAGGCCAAGAATCCTCCTCTATTGCAAGTGAGCAACGATGGTGGCAATGTCATCATGACAGTGGAAGTTCTCGACGAAGTCCAGGTTGAGCCGCCAGTGGGGACAAATCGGTGCGTGTCTCTTGACTGCAAACTCTTCTCCGTAGGTGGGGTGGGTGGAAGACCTTTAGGTACGATGATCCGGATCCGTCATAGCCTGCACACACACTAAAAAAAATCCACATTGGAGAGGTTAGAAATTAAGTTTTAGGGGGAGAACTCCCCCACACTTAGGCACAAAACACAAGTAGTATGGGTGGCATAAGGTGTAAACTGACTCATAAGAACATGAATGAAGCTCAAGTGGGGCAAAATGGACCATGAAAATGAAAATAGGAAACTAATAGATTACAAACAAGGTTAGAACATCCCTAACAAGGCACCAAACAAGTATCACACACACAACACAACTGAATATGCAAAGCAACATCCTAGGACAAGCCCAATCCCATTTCTAGCACTTTTTTTTTTTGAAAAAGCACCGCATTCTTCACCTAAGAACCCTATGCCTCAATTTTCCAAAATTGACTAGGAAGGAAGCAGTTATAGACCCGGAAACACAAGCAGAGGTCTAATGGGAGGTGAGGAGAGGTGGACAGAAGTGAAACATGACCCGAAAAGTGATCTACAGTGCTCCCCGAAAAGTTCCCAGAGAGTCAACCACCACCGATGACGCCAAAAATCTAGGCGAAGGGGCTCCTTAAGGAGGGAATATAAGTTGTAACAAGTCTCCCCCCTAAGTGCAACCTTGACCTCAAGGTTGGTCATCTTCATGGATGAATTGACCTTCCTCTTCGTCGTTGCACGCTCCAATCATAAGTAGCACGTTTGTATTTTCACACCTTCCTCTTCGTCGTTGCACGCTCATTACAATAGAAACAGATTCCTTCATCGTGCACTCGTGCTACTTCTTTCGGTGACATCCTTCAGGGATTACGTTTACGAGGTGGTGAAGTTTGATGTGGTGTTGGTGGTGGTTGCTCGCTAGCTCCATATGTGCTCAGGGTAGATTTATGTGAACTCCTTGATGCTTCGACAACTCTTTGTTCTTCTCCTTGGCAAATCGAATTGCCTTCACAGAACCATTACATTATACTCCTACTAATTGTGAGAGCTTGTGGGTTCTTCCATAGTCGAAATGCTTCTTTCACAGTTTATGGCCTAAAGATGTGAATTGCGTTAGAAATTTCAGGGTTGAGCCCATCAATGAATGAGTCCGCAAATGCCTCTTCCGTCCATCTAAGGCACCGATTGCCCAATTTCTCAAAAACCAAATGACAATCACTCAAAGATCCAATTTGTTTGATCTTTTCTAGAGCCTCATGACTAGATGTGCTTGATGATGGCCCAAATCGAGCCCCCAACTCTTGTCCGAACCTGGGCCAAGTAATCGTCAATCCCAATGTTACGTAGGTTTGAACCAACTACGACAACCATTTGTTCACGTCACCTTCCATGTGATAAGATGGTAGGAGCACCTTATGATCCTCTAGCATTCCCTAAAATCTAAACAACTACTACATATGTGCGAACCATGCGAAAAGGTCCTCGCTCCTGCTAAATTTCGGAAACTCCAATTGAGCCGGCTTTGGTTGAAAGGGCCCGATCTATTGTTGATCAAGCATGATATGTCCCCCTGCGGGAGGTCCGAGTCTGTCTCAGCCCACTATCCTACGCTGCCAGCCACTCCTCCTAGTATGCACATCCCATTGGTGGGCTCGTATGATGGGCCCAACTTGGTCACCTTCCATCACCCACCCGGCCACCCCCACACACATATATAAAACTGAATCCATGCACTGTTTTATGAAAGATTGTCCTTATTCATGGAGCATTTTCATGAAGGTTTGTCCTTATTCATGAAACATTGTTTCGTAATTGGTATCTTTTTATCCATTAAGTCCAACCGCTACTAAACCAAAGGGACGTGTCACTTCATGAAATTAGACCTAGTTAGTTCGGTTGAAACAAATTTGATCAGTCCAACCCCAAACCAATTTGACCCGATTAGTGTGGTTAAACCAAATTTTCTACGTCACTAGCAACAAAGTCATCATCACATTCCTGATGGCCACTCCACAAAACTGCCTTCGAAGGATGATGTTGCTCAAACGTAGTGTATACGTACATATGTAATAAATCAACGTATTATCTTCTATAAAATTGCATCATTGCATCCCCACGAAAAAGCAAAGAAGAAAAAGGTTTGTTAAGTCTAGAGGAGGCACAACACCTAATTCAAGCATTCTGGAATCATTCATGCCATCTGGTTATTCACGAAAGCGGAACCCCAAATTATTTTTCCCGTAATAATTTGCTTTAATCTTATTTATAGAGTTAAATTTGGATTTTCCATTTTCCTTTGAAAAATAAGTTGCATTAATCATAATCTACCCAATGATATCCACATTTGGATATATTTCAAAATTTAAAAATTGATTTTACAAAAACGTTAACAAATAATAATATGTGTTAATCTACACTAATTTGCGTGAATAATCATTATTGTTTATGTGAATACCATCACTATTACATGAAGTATATGGTGATGTCACCTCTAGAAACAAGAAACCAGGTTCACAAACGATTTACTTACAGTACTTTACTATCGATAAAGCACTCGACTCGACTATACATCTTCCACATCACCATGTGACTTGAGAAACTTCATTAGGTGTTTTGATTTAAGAGTCCCTAGTAGAGCTGTCAAAATGTAACCCGACCCGAGTAACCCGCCCGATCAACTCCACCCACAACCCGCCCGCAACCCGATTTGACTAAAAGTCAATGACCCGTAACCCGCCCGACCCGTAACCTGACCAACCCGCAACTCGACCAACCCGCAACCCGATCGACCCGCAACCCGATGAACCCGCAACCCGACTAACCCGAACTCGTAACCCGACCAACTCGCAGCCTGACTATAATAGAAGGAATTCGATGAAGATAAACCAAAAGTTGACATTTGAAATTCTAGTTCACTAAAGTCTGATCATTACATCATCAATTATTAACTTAGTATAATAATATACATCATCAACCTATTAACGCATATAATATTATTAAATATTTATTTAGATACATCATCAACCTAATAGTGCACATAACATTATAAAATATTAATTTAGCATAATAAGATAATTATAAGATTTAAAATCGAAACATCATGGTCCTGTCATAAAAAAGATTAATAATAGTTCACAAAAGTCTGATCATAACAAGAATACATGATTCATGATAGTTCATATTGTCTCAAGACCTCAAATATCAATAAAAACATGTCAAAAAAACAAATTGACATTCCAAATGACGATCATAACAGGAAAGAAATCATGAATTACCTCAATCAACCAAACAATATGCCTCAACCCCTCTGAACCCTCACAGTACGCCTTCTGTCTTTCCCTTTTCCTCCTCTTCCCGGTCTGCTTTTCCCTTTGTGTCCTGAAGCGGTGGGAACCTTTGGAGCCAAATAAATTTGGGCGGTGGGAAACTTTGAGCAAAAAACTGAAAATGAATTTTGGGTGGTGGGAAACTTTGGAGCCAAATAATTTTGGTTGATGCCAAAATTTGAATCAAATGAATTTTTTGACCAAATGAATTTTGGTTGGAGCCTAACTATTAATCACGGTAAATAAAGATTCAAAATCATATAAATAAATTACCATGATTGAAATTATATAATTACATACGAGAAATTTTACCGTGACATTTAGTATACTTTTTAATATGGGAAAGGTTCCCGTAAATAAGATCCCGTGACTAGAAACTTGTTTTTTTGTAGTCAAGTGAAGATTAAAAATAGGTAAATTAATTTCCGTGATTGGAACTATAAAATTAATTACGGGAAATTTTACCGTGCTTAGTAGCATACCTCTAAGTACAGGAAACACTATCGTGAATAAGATACCGTGACTGAAAAACCAGTTTTCCTGTAGTGTAATAGTACTCACGTCCGACGGAAGGAAGAAGCGGCGTTAACACTGGAGGGAAGAGGCGACGGTCAATGGTGCTCTACTCTCTCGATTTAGGGTTGCGACACGAACATGGATTAGTCAAAATCATAACTAATACGAATCAAGTTTTTTTTGTTAACATATGTTCATCAATAAAACCATTAGGGGTTTAGGGTATATGATATAGAGTCGACGTATAGGGTAATAGGTTAGGGTTAAGGTATTAAACTATTAATGGTTTAGCCAAGATTAATCAAAATCATAAATAATAAGGATCAAGTTATTTATTAACACATGTTCATGAATAAAATCAATTGGGGTTCAGGGTATAGACTATTTAGAGTTTAGATTATATGTTATCGAGTAAAGTTACAATTGAACTCACAACAATTTTTCTAAATTTTATAATTTAGTTTAATACAAAAATCATATAAGTAATCAAGAATCCTGGGTCTGATATTGCGTCGTCTCTCTCCCTTCTCTCTTCTCTCTGAACGCGCCGTCGTTAGGGTTCTTGATGGCGGCCGTCACCGGCGGAGCCAGTTCAGGTGCCGTCGGTGACGGGCGTACCTGGGCCTCTCTTTTCACAGTTAGTCCTGACTTCAAGCTCGATTACTACAAACCGGAGTTTGTAAATGGGTCTCTTCGTATACCTAAGTCGGTGATTGAAGCGGGTGAGAAGCGATGGGTGAACAACTTGGTTGGGAAATTTATGGATCGGCCGACATCTCTATCTTTGATTCACTACTAGGCGAATTGGATATGGGGACGTGATGGGATGGTCCGAGTTTCGTGGTTGGGGGAGCGCCTGGTGCTCTTTCAGTTCCCGACTGCAGAGGTCTGCCGCTGGGTGTTTGAAGGGGGTCCATGGCATCATCGCGAGAACATGGTCCTGCTCAGGCGATGGGAACCAGGTATTCAGCCTCTAGCTATTGACAACTCGGTTGTTCCTGTATGGGTTCGATTGTCAAATTTGCCATCTGAGTTAACTTCAAAGGAAGGGTTGAGGCGTCTTGCTAGCTCGTTAGGGCGGCCTCTTTGTATGGATTATCCAACGAAGCAGGGGACCAAATATGGGGTTGCTAAGGTCTGCGTTGAAATCACTACCAAAACTATTCTGATCAATAAGCTTAGTATTACTCCTGAGGGCCGGCCTGAAATGTTGGTGGATGTGGAGTTCTGTCATGTACCTCAGAAATGTGAGAAGTGTGGTATCTTTGGTCATGATTGTGCGAATCCAGGTGGAGAAGTAAAGCGTGTTTGGGTGGTTAAGCAGCCAAAAATCAAAGAAGTAGTATCAGATGGCGCAAAAGATAAGGAGAAAATGGATATGGTGGTTGTTCCTCAGATCGAATTGGGGGTACAGGAGGCAGTTACTGAGGAAGCTGCTGTGCAGCCTGATGCTGGTATGAAGGAAGTTACTGTGGTGGTGGCTGATGTGCAAGCTGAAGCTAGTGTGCAGGAGGTTATGCAGGTAGTTAAGGGTGTGGAGATGCCAGTGGATTTAGTGGTGGGGGCTAGTAGTTCTACTCCTAATCCAGGGGATGGGTTTCAGGTGGTAACTGGTCGTAAGAATAGAGTTAGGGCTCCTGATCCTACTTCTATTGCCAAGAGCCCATGGAATTTGTTCACTGGTCAGAAGAAGATTCCTCTGGATGATAAGGCTTTCCCTTCCTTGAGTAAACCAGTGTGGAAAATGAGTGATGAGCTGCTGCAACCTGCTAAAGGTAGGGGGCGTGGCAAGAAAAAGAAATGAAAATATTGTGCTGGAATGTCAGGGGCTTCAATGCTCCTGAGAAGCACTCTGCAGTGCTTCAGAAGTTACGTATGCATCAGCTTGACATTTTGGCAATTATAGAGACTAGAGTTAAAGTTGAGAATAGTAAGGGTATAATTGATAGTAGATTTAGTCATTTACAACATATGAATAATTACCCCAAGTCTCCAAATGGTAGGATTTGGTTATTTTGAAAAGATAGCATTTCAGTTACAAAACTGGAGTTTGGCAAACACTTTTTGAAAGTCTTGGTGAGGGGAGCAGTGCAGTTTATTCTGATGGTGGTCTATAGTCCAAACAAGGAGTCAGAGAGGTTGGAATTATATAGAGAGTTATTGGTTCATAATGAATGTTTGATTCCTATTGTGGTAATGGGGGACTTCAATGCTGTCAGAGATCCTACTGAGACCTCCAATCTTGAAACAGTCTCTGCTAGCATGGGGGATTTTCAAAGCTGGATTGAAGAGATGAATTTGGTTGATCACAAAGTGGCAGGGAGTTGGTTTACATGGTGGAACAAACAGAGGGGGAATCCTATTGCTAGGCGCCTTGATAGAGTGCTTGTGAATGATGCTTGGCTTACTACTTTCCCAGTGAGTGTTGCACAGACTATTTCTCCAGGGATATCAGATCACTGTGGAATTTTGCTTGCTCCTATACCTGAGATTAGTAGTTTACCTAAGCCCTTTAAATACTTCAAATTTTGGGTGAGTCATCCCTCGTACATGCAGTTGGTTACTGATGCTTGGAAGTTGGAGGTTGAGGGCTGGCCTTACTATGTGTTTTATGGGAAGTTGAGGAATGTAAGGAGGTGCTTGAGGCAATTGAATAGAGAAGTTTACTCTAATATCTCTGCTAAGACTAGGGAGGTAGAAGGGAAACTGGAAACCTTGCAGGCTGCATTGTTACACAATCCCACTGATTTACTTGTTGAAGAAGAAGGGGTACTGGCCAGGAAGTGTCTGGAACTTAAAAGGGCAGAAGAGAGCTTCTATAAACAGAAAGCCAGAACTCAGAGTGTGCAGGAAGGGGATCTTAATACTGCGTTTTTCCATTAAACTGTTAGGGTACACAATCACAGGCAGCAAATCTCAAGGATTCTGGATGAACAAGGAAGGGAAGTAACAGATATCAAAGGTATTGGTAAAGTGGCTGTGGATTTCTATTCTCAATTGATTGGTACAGTCAACTCTGAAGTAATGCTGCAACCCTCTAGTTTCTATGAGCAGCTGAAGCTTAAATGCCTTTCACTAGATGTGGCAGCAGATATGATTATGCCCATAACTAGGCAGGAAATTAAAGATGTTTTCTTCAGTTTAGGGAGGGATAAGGCGCCTGGTCCAGATGGTTTTCCTTCTGAATTATTTAGACTACATTGGGATCTAATTAGTTCTTTGGTTGAGGATGTGGCTCTTAATTTTTTCCAAACTGGGATAATGCCTAAAGCAATTAACTCTACCCTCTTTACCCTAGTGGCTAAGGTTCCAAATGCTGAAAAAATGAAGGACTTTCGTCCAATCTCTTGCTGCAACACCCTTTATAAGGGTATATCCAAAGTGCTTGCCAACAGGTTAGCAGCAGTTCTCCCCTTGTTGATCTCTCAGTCCCAGTCTGCCTTTATTAGAGGTAGGTCCATTAGTGACAATATTCTTCTTGCTGCTGAACTGGTTAGGGATTATCATAGGAAGAATGTTACCCCTCGTTGCACTATCAAAATAGACATTATGAAGGCATTTGATTCAGTGAGCTGGCTTTTCCTTTTTTCTGTGCTTGAGGTCATGGGATTACCTAGTCAATTCCTGAATTGGTTAAAAGCTTGTGTTCAGTTTCCTAGAATTAGTGTGGGTCTCAATGGTGGTATTTGTGGATCATTTGATATGGCAAAGGGCTTAAGGCAAGGGGATCCATTATCCCCTTATTTATTCACAGTTGCCATGGAAGTCCTTGATGGTATGTTGAAGCAAGCAACATCTCAGAATCAAATTCCATTTCACCCTCGATGTAAACCACAGGCAATCACTCATCTCTGCTTTGCAGATGACTTACTGGTATTTACTAATGGTTCAATCAGGGGGGTAGCTGGGATATGTCGTGTTTTGGGGGCATTTTACACTATTTCAGGTCTGAAATGTAATCCTGAGAAATGCCAGCTATTCTGTGGGGGTATTCCAGAAGATGAAAAACTGAGAATTTCTGATTACTCTAAGTTTCCTAATAGTAGCCTGCCTGTTAGATACCTGGGGGTCCCCTTACTTACTGGAAAGCTTACTAGGGCTGAAGGAAGGGTGTTGATTGAGAAGATTACAAGTAAAATCACTAGCTGGAGATCTAAGTTCCTCAGCTTTGCAGGTCGTTTACAGCTGATTAACTCAGTACTTACCTGTGTTTTGCAATACTGGATGGGGATCTTTTTGTTGCCAAAATATGTCATTGAAGAAGTGGAGACTATTTGTAGTCGTTTCCTGTGGGATATTGATGATAATTCACTGAGGAAGAGAGCAGTGGCTGCTTGGCAGTTTGTTGCTAGGCCTAAAAAGGAAGGAGGGCTGGGCATAAGAAACTTTTCTATTTGGAATAAAGCATGTGTCTGCAGGCACTTATGGGCTCTCATGGCAGTAGAGGGATCCATTTGGGTTGCTTGGGTAACAAGATATAGAGTGAAGCAACACTCTATTTGGGATTTAAAGGAGACTGCAGCAGGGAATTGGGTGTGGAAGCGTATGCTAAAGTGCAGGCAGCAGGTTAGGCCTCATATTTCTATAGTTAACTCTGAGTTGAAGTGGGATGGTTGGCTATGAATCCTTACTCTGTTTCTAGGGTGTGGGACTCATTGAGACAAAAAGATACTGAGGTAAATTGGTACAAGTTGGTTTGGGACAAGCATATTATCCCTAGGCATGGTTTTATTCTGTGGCTGGTGATTAATGACAAGCTTAAGCTACAAGATAAGCTAATTGCTTGGGGAAAGCCACTCACTGGGGAATGTCTGCTGTGCCCTGGGGGAGTGGAGTCTAGAAATCACTTATTTGTGGATTGCTCTTACATTCAGCACTTATATAGCAAGATTCTAGGGCTTGCAGCGCCACTAGTGTGTGGTGACTGGGACAATCTTCTGAGTTGGTGTGTTTTGCAGTGGAGTAGGGACTCCCCAGAGAACTACCTAAACAGAATGTGTTGGAGTGTTATTGTAAGTCTGGTGTGGCGTGAGAGGTGTGCGAGGATGTTTGGTTCGGTTGCAGCAAGGGATCCCCAGCAGCTTCTCCTTGTTGCAAGGAGGGTGATCAGGGGTCAATGTCTTATGAACCAATGCTTGATTGACTGCTTTGTAGCCAGGGGGCTTGGGGTAGTTAGCTGATTTGTGTTTGCCTGTTTTGTTGCCATGGGGCTTGGGGTAGATAGTTGATTTTTGTTCTTAGTGTTTTGCCCTATATGGGATTGATGTACAGGATTGTGAGTTTTGTGAGGGCTCCATAGCGCTTTGCTATTGGTGTCGGTTCTTAATGCATTTTTGATTTAACCATAAAAAAAATCATATAAACAATTAACTAGCTAAACCAACAATTTCTCTATACATTTATATGAACAATTTCACTTGTTTTTAAATAATTAAAAAACTATTTTTAAACTTTTCTCTCCAAATTTTGGGTTCCCCCAACACTACTGCCAAAAAATTTGATTCCCCCCACCTGCCGAGACCCGCCAATAATTCCCCCTATAATGTTTTCCCAAAATTTTGTTTCCCCCCACCTTTGAGTCTTTGACTTTGAGTAGTGATTCCTTTTTTTTTTTACAAGTATTGTGCTAGCTTCATATAGTTACGATTTACGACTTACTAGTAATCACTAAAACGTAACGCGATGTTTTGGTCCGTAAAACCCGCAACCCGAATCGCCCGACCCGTAACCCGATTGGCCCGCAGCCCGATTGACCCGTAACCCGATTGACCCGCAACCCGATTGACCCGTAACCCGAGTAACCCGCAACCCGATCAACCCGCAACCCGATTGACTCGCAACCCGACCAACCCGCAACCCGAATGAACCCAGCCCGCCGCCCGATTGACACCTCTAGTCCCTACTGTAAGAAGAGTACCTCAGATGGATATTAGGGATGGCAATGGTGCGGGTTTGGGGCGGGTTTGCCTAAACCATCCCCATCCCCATCTTCCAATACCCATACACGCCCCATCCCATGCGGGAAAATATTTTGCAAACCCATCCCCATACCCGTGAGTTTCGGGTACCCATGGGTAATACCCATACCCGTACATCCAACATTAACATACCTTAAACTTACCAGAAAAGTTTTAATTATAACTCTAAACGAACATATTATATTATGAAGTCAACAAAACAGAGTCATTTTTTTTTAATATGGTTCAAAGAATACGATCCTAAAATATCCACTAATACATAATATAGAGTATAATATTTTTCAAATTATCATGTACTAACTCTGATACATTTACTAAGTAATAATTAACTAATAATCTTGTTGACAAGAGGAAAGTGAAAGAGTGAAATGAGAATTGAGAGAATGAGTTAGGTTTTTTGATTAAGATAGTCTCTCAATTGCATGTCTACTATTTATTTTCTCAAGTTATCCTCATCATCATTGATAGATTATAATTTGATGCACATATTTTTTTTTATATGAAAAAATTCTCTTGGTGTGGCGGGTATGGGTATGAAACAGGGGAAGCTAAAACGAAACCCGCCCCATACCCAGTCAAAGCGAGAATTCCCCGCGTTGACTGGGTCGGGGGCGGTCGGATACCCCAACCATGGGTTTGATTGCCATCCACTAATGGATATCTAAGAGAGTAATATGTAATGCTTTCCTTTGACACAGATGACACTAGCATCCCGTATCCGATATAGAAAAGAGCCGTTGGAGAAATAAGGCAAAGACAAAACGACAACTTGGACTCCTTAACTAAACCCAAACGTTCGGGACGACACACAAGTGAAAGTAAGTGA